TGAGGCACTTATGATTGCAATGTTTGAATAATTTGTAGGATTCATACGACATATACTGTGCCGAGAAGTTTTCACAAAGAAGTTGGCGTCGATGTTGTGGCTCCCGGTGTAGACATGGAGTCCAATCAGAAAGAGTTTCGATATCACAAATACTATCAATGGGTTTGCTTTGTGCTGTTCTTTCAATCGACATTGTTTTACATTCCGCGATGGCTGTGGAAGATGTGGGAAGGTGGCAAGATTCAGGCACTTATGATGGACTTGGATGTCGGCGTCTGCAGTGATCAGGAAAAGAAACAGAAAAAGAAACTTCTGGTCGATTACCTGTACAACAGTCGGGGTCATCACGACTGGTATGCGGCGCGCTATCTGTTTTGCGAAGTACTCGCTTTGGCTAATGTGATCGCACAGATGTATATGTTGGACAAGTTCTTCGATGGAGAGTTTCTCACCTATGGATTACAAGTCATTCAATTCGCACAACAAGATCAGGGTTTGTCACTACACATCACTATTGCTATATTCAGCTAATCATTGCGTATTCAATGTATTCATGTTAGAGGACAGGATTGATCCGATGATTCGCATCTTTCCAAGAGTAACCAAATGTCGTTTTTACAAATACGGTCCGTCAGCTAACATCGAGACCATCGATGCCTTGTGTTTACTGCCATTAAATATTATTAATGAGAAAATATATATTTTTCTCTGGTTTTGGTTTTTAATATTGGCAGCTCTGACAGCCATTGTCATAATGTTTCGTCTAGTGATCATTGCTTGTCCACCGGTTCGGGTGTATCTATTGAACCTTAGGTTCCGACTCTCACAACTCGATCATTTGCATACAATTGTTAGACGAACATCAATTGGAGATTGGTTTCTTGGTAAGTTTTTAATTGATGGCATATTCAACATGTATTAACAATATATTGATTAAATGATATGTGCAGTGTATATGTTGGGCCAAAACATCGATAGTGTTATTTACCAGGAAGTGATTCAAGATTTGGCCACCAAAACCGATTCTCAGCCAAAAGAGAGCCAGTCTTTGATGTCTACATAATTGAGACAAAGCTAACCATATATGAGAGAAAAGGACCAAATCACCTTGATCTAAAGGATCTGTTGCAAATCTGATCCATTATTTGTTGGCATCTAGTTAATTAAAGTCTTATTTACGTCAACATTGGCTATAATACTCTACGATATGAATATGAAGTACTAAACGGTATACTGTATATCATAAAGAAAAGTCTTAATGGTTAAACCAAATCAATTATGAAAACTTATATCAATTTGGGAACAACTCTTTCGGATCTGTTGAAGCAAAAATTAAACACAAATTATACTGATTTCCCTTTTATGTAGATAAAGAATGAAATAAGAATTGAATTGACATTAATATTAATATTATGATAGAATGCTATTATTTATACTGTTTTCCAAATGTAAAAGATTTCCAATTTTTAAATAATTTAAGAGAGATTTTATGATTGATTCATGATTTTGCAAATAAATTGTTAAGTTATTTAGTGTATAAACATGTAATTGAATGAAATTATTAAGTAATTTAACAATACAGTACAGTAGATAACAATAGATATAAATGTAGTGATGTTGTAATATGTGGTGAGTGGCGCTTCACTCTTTATTGGATACTATTGTACAATATTGTTCACTGTAACTGTTATGCACTGTACAGTAGTGTTACAGTGTACAGCATGGTGTACTGCATCGCGTAAGTATATGATATGTAAATGGGATGTAAGACATGTACGGGTTGTAGGTTTGCAAGTTTGGAACAACCTTTGCTTCAACTACTGTACACACTGTATAACACAATTGTTGATTGATTCATGATTTTGCAAATAAATTGTTAAGTTATTTAGTGTATAAACATGTAATTGAATGAAATTATTAAGTAATTTAACAATACAGTACAGTAGATAACAATAGATATAAATGTAGTGATGAGATGTTGTAATATGTGGTGAGTGACACTTCACTCTTTATTGGATACTACTGTACAATATTGTTCACTGTAACTGTTATGCACTGTACAGTAGTGTTACAGTGTATAGCATGGTGTATAGCATGGTGTATAGCATGGTGTACTGCATCGCGTAAGTATATGATATGTAAATGGGATGTAAGACATGTACGGGTTGTAGGTTTGCAAGTTTGGAACAACCTTTGCTTCAACTACTGTACACACTGTATAACACAATTGTAGCATGGTGTACTGCATCGCGTAAGTATATGATATGTAAATGGGATGTAAGACATGTACGGGTTGTAGGTTTGCAAGTTTGGAACAACCTTTGCTTCAACTACTGTACACACTGTATAACACAATTGCATTCTATGAGCCAAATGTAAGTTTTTGGCCCAATTTATAGGAGAACTATCACAAAGTGATGCATATAGTGATGCATTTGATGCTAGAGTAGAGTAGTTTCCAAACACAGTGTTAGGTCTCTCGAGTCGGCTTCTCATTGCTTTGACTGTTTGAATCAAATTTAGCATTTGTTTGTCGTTTGTTTTGTAGATTCCATTCATTTCTAAGTGTAGTGACAAAACTATCGCTCATTAATATGCATTATATCTATTGTATAACATTGGCTCTCATCTATTGTATATCAATTAATTTTGATTACAGTAAGTATTGCTCATATAATTCTATGACATTTCTTAGACATTAAGTTTGGTTTAATCACTATTAGCTCATATTTTGCACAAACCATTTTTAACTTGTTATATTTTATATATTTAATGTATGTTATATACTATTGTGTAATTGTGTGAACTTTACATATTGTCTTAAAAGTAAGTAAATGGTAGAAAGTATACTATATATGCACTTAACATAATTGTTAAATCGGATGCTTTATACTGAAGAGTCAATCGACTTTCAAATGTAAGATCATATCAAAGACAACATTTGATTGCATACTCTTATAAGGTTAGAGAAAATAGTGAAAGAAATGCATTTTAAGCGTTCACTTCATGCTTAAATCGTTTTGATGCTAAGTATAGACCAAACACTGCTAACACTCTTATAACTAAACCACATAAACATAGACTGGCTTTGATTGTCTAAAAATATTCATTTACTCCCAGAAGTTATTTATTCCAATTGTTCTTATAATATATCGTTTATTAAATTATTTTATATTTTATTAAATAAGTAATATTTGTCATAAATTACACGCATTAATGTACGTATATATTTCGGAACATATCAATATTAAATAACAATTAGTATTATAAGATAATTAAATAAACATACCCATTTTGTTTAATTATTAAATGAATAAGATAATTTTCAACATTAACTGCACAATTGTTGTGTATTTAACTTTATTAATTTTTTTAATGTTTGGTTTATTGTTAAATTCAATATACAATAATATAAAGTTAGTCCATTTATGTACACTGTTCAATCATAATATAATATTATTATAGACATAATTTCATAATTGTTAAAATTATCTTAATTAATACAACTATTATTTAATTTTTTAAAAATTGTTTTACAGTTAATATTTTCCTCGACTTTCCAACTGTAAAAAACGGAATTAGTGTTAACATTAATTTAATCCTAAAGTTATACCTTATTTAAATCATTACGAGTTTTCACTATTTTAATCCATAATTCACAAATCGTTGAAATGATTTAAAAAAGCTTTAATAATTGTTGTTTAAAACTTATTTTTGAAACCATTTATTTGAAGGACATGTGATTGGAGTGAATGGTCTGCAAAAAATCAAACAAAATGATGAAACAAAAGTGAAATGCAAAGAAGTGGTTAACGAAGCTCTTAGACAGTATTGGGATCATTCACACGGTTAGTATAGTTAGTTTAATTACTGTAACCATTTACGCATTATATTTGTCATGTATTGACTCAAGTCATTCAAAGTAATTTGTTTTCTTTACCCCCATGGTAATTTCACATTATCCGTAAGTCATGGTAAATGCTATCTTTTGTTACCGGCGTTGTCTATAGATTTAATATGAGTACAATAAACTTGTCATAAACTGTAATCCCAAGTTAAATCCCATAGGGTGGGGGCCGGGGAGGGGCAGCCTAACGATCCTATAAACCACATTATTCACAGCTGAATTGTAGTTAAAAATCAAATTTAAAATTTAAATATACCTAAATATTTTTATTGATAATAAATAGCGTTTTATATGATATTTAAATTTGTGGATATTACAAATTTCTGTATGTGTTAATGAAATTATAAGAAACTGAAAAATAAAAACAAAGAATTGCTGCCCTCGAACATGTGATATGGTGTGACTGCAATTTGATAATTATTGTCTGTAAAACACTAATATTTTTAACAGATGTCATAATGTTATATGCTTTAGGTTAATACTATTGTATAAGTAGGGATGCAAATTTTACTGCATTTTTATATAAACATTTAATTTCGGCTAAATTTTGACATTTTAGGTTAAATGTTTCTAAAAACGTGAAATTTTCATATATTTTTAACTAGATACTTTCACTGTGGTGAAATATACAAACATCAAACTAATTAAAACAGTTTTCATTTAAAATAATAATGAAAAATGTTTTGGTTCTTTAAATATTCCACATTTATTAAAGATTCTTTCAAATTCTATTATATATTCTGTGAATATTTTACTTAAAGAATGAATTCTAAAATTCTAGACATAATTATAATGAATTTACGACAAAGAAAAGAATTCTGATAAGTATTTAAATAAATTATTTTTTGGCAATTTAGTTTAAATTACACAAATTAGTGATTTATTTAATAAATATTAAATATACGAATTCGTATATCCTCTTTTATTGCTAAAAAGTAGGCATAATGTCTTTATAATTTGTAAAATAGGAGGTGGTCAGTGACTGGTCAGTGATTGGTCACCTTAACTGTAGTATAGATTTGACTATCAATAGTATACATATGCTGTAATTGTTTGGAACAATTGAATGTTTCCATGTTTTAAATGGTGTCCAATGTGTGAATTAAATAGTGTGACCACTTCCTCGTCTTTAAAAAAAGAACAAATAGAGAACAATAGATACAATAGATATGTATGTTTATAAATAATGAAAATTACAGAAGTGATCGATTCCGGGACTGAAGATAGAAGTAATGAAAATCAATACTTAGCTGAAGGCGACGACGAAGAGCCTACCGATGAGAATGAGAGCAATGAATGCAACGAACAAAATGATAGCACCGATGAAAATGAAGACAACGAAGAAAGTGAAGTGGGAATGGAAAGGGAGTCCCATTCAAACGACCAATCATTACAACCCCCGGACAGCAACACTGCTGTAGAATCGAGTTCTGAAACCAATGCTGCCATAGAAGACAATTCGGGGCAACAATTAAAAGAAAGTGAAGAAAAGAACGAACAAAATCAACAATTAGTTAATAGTAATGAATCAAACGAAGAGCAGACCATAGACTTGAATGAAAGCTCTTTCACTACAGAGGAAAAAGACAATAATATCAACGATGTTAGCGATGCTAACGATGTGAATGACGTTATCGATGATTTGGGGGCTCAACAAAATGGTCGATCAAGAGCTCATATCGACGATATTCTTCGAGTCTACGAGATTGGTTCGCAAGAGGTAAGGGGTGTTTCAAATAGTGTTTGGAGATGAATATTGTAATATAATGTATTGGCGTTCCTTCTTATAGGATACAAGTGAACAAAACCTCATTTTATCCATATATCGAGAACTTAAAAAACTTTATGAGTCGTCTGTAAAACCATTAGAAATGATATA